CAAGTGGCTCCTGGGGTTAAAAATGCCCCAGACCCAAAGCTCATGGAAGAATGTTTGGATACTCCAATTTTAATCTGCTTTTGGGCCGGGCTGCTGGAGCTACTTTAGGAGCTGGGCTGGGTCTTCTGAACCTGTGGACAGCTGGCAGCCTGGTGCTGGGCTGAGTCCCAGGCATGCAGGAGGCCAGAAGGAAGGGGCAGATTGAGCGAGAGGTAAGACTGCAGAAAGCCAACGAGAAGGGGAGAAGGCCAGAGCCTGTGGCTGCAGATGGGGCTGGCTGGACGCAGGAGAGCATCTGATGCAATCCGCCACGAGGGATGCCAGCCGGCCGTGTGCTGCAGAGGCTCTGTTCTTGAAGAGACTAGTACCTGCTCTATTAATTCTGGCTCCATGGGAATTGGGGAAGATTTCCCTGAGGGGTCTCCTGAGCCCCAGCAACCTCCCCAAGGGCCTTAGCTAGTAAAAGCGCCTGTGTCTGGAGTGAAATAAGCAAGATGAAATGAGGGAGAGACAGAGCACCTGGGTTGGCCGCTGCCTGGGCGAGGGCTGCTGAAGTATCTTGTCAGTACAAACACACAACCTCAGTCCTGCTCCATGGTTGCCCCTCCAGGGAGCCCCATGCCCCGTCACGGACCCAGCTTTCCTACTCCTGGCTGGTGCAATCACAGTCCAAGAGGCAAGGTGATGGCTACTCAGAGGCCTCATGGCTCCGAGCTGATATACTGTGTATACTCCACAGCAAAGGGAACCATTGGCAAAACAATTAGTGTGACGGTGAAAGAGACCAGAGGGACCAGGCAGTTCCTAGGAGCTGTCCCAGGTGAGGCAGGAGGTTTTCCCAACAAGCCCTTGATGCGATGCTTATGCCAAGCCCGGCTAAAATGTCTACAAGGCTTCATTACAGGATTAGCAAGGAAAAAAAAAGCCATCTTCAAGCTACAACACCTTGGTCCCCAGACCTAGACCCCACTGACTATAATGAAGTGAGACCCAATGTGTGTGTGTGTGTGTGTGTGTGTGTGTGTGTGTGTGTGTGTGTATGTGTGTGTGTGTGTGTGTGTGTGTGTGTGTGTGTGTGTGTAATCCAGGACCCTATGCATGATAGACAAATGCTCTAGTACTCTTCTGTTATATCCTCAGATCCTCTCCTTCCTACCATACTGCTGTTTCCCAGACCCCTTCACCTTCTGCTCAAGTTCCACACCCCCCTCTCCTCCATTAGAAACAGAGCTGAGGAGCCAGAACCAGGTGCCCAGGCAGGCCTTCTCCTGAGTCCGGTACACTGCCAGCTCTGTTTCTAATGGAGGAGAGGGGGGTGTGGAAGAAAAGAAGAGCCTGGCAGAGCCCTCCTGATCTGTATGGTCCTTTTAATCATGAATGTTCAAAGTCCTCAGTGCAGGGGTTCTCCAAGTTCCACACAGTCAAGAGACCAGCCTCAGCCCTTGTAAAAGGCTTTGAGAAGCTAGCCCACCAAGGCTATTTTGAAAGTGGACAAAGCTCAGAAGAGTCTGAGTAGGTTCCTGTACCCGTAGAAAGGTGTAAATTCTCTAGGGAACCATGTCCATAAAATTATTTTCCTTCTTATATAGTAAACTCAGCTTACCTTTGTGATTTGCTGTCGTCCTAAGTAGCACTTTTGGGGTTCTTCCCCATGTTTGCACAGGCTCTGTCTTACTTCGACGGCTGTGTCCTACAGCAGAGCTGACTATAGTCCTTTTTTGTTTACTTTCAAATAACTCCTTTAACAGTCTTTCTTGTTTGTATAACTTTCTACATGGATAGGATAGAGGCTTTGACCAAGTGTCTCTCTTGGTCTGTGAGTATCTGCTTGCTCCTCTTTCTCTTCTGCATTTCCATGGCTTCTGGAAGGTTGGCAGGTACTCTTTCATTTCCCTCCTGAGTTACAACGTGTCTGGTTATAGTGGGCTTAGAAGCCTGGTAATGTCTGTCAGAGCTACACAAAGATGCTACAAATACTCCAATTTGGACAGCCATCCATCAGTCACCCGGCGATCTCTCTCTTCCTCTCCCTCCTCCCCCTCCGTGTGTGTGTGTGCATGTGTGTCTGTCTGCCTGTCTACCTGCTTGCCTGTCTGTCTGTCTCCTTTTCCCTGTTTGTCTCCTTCTCTCCCCTTTCTTACTGTGTTGCCGATGACTGAATCTAGAGCCTGGCACATGCTAGATAAACATTTAGATAAACAGTACACCTCTGAGCTTCATCTCCAGCCCTCTGCAATCTTCCTCCCGAGTAGCTGGATATAGGCCTGTGTTACCAGGCCTGACAGCCGCTTGGATCTTACAGAGGAAAAGATCTGACAAAGTGACCAGGAAGCAACGAAGTGAAGGTTTCAGATATGATGTCACGTTGAGTGTGGAGATGACATGTAGAAAAGCTTCAGAACCTACTAAGGCAAAGGGTGGCTTGGCTGCCACCTCATGATGCCTGATATTGCGTTAGTGAGACTGATGGCCTAGCCTTGCTGACCAATGCAGGAGAGCTGCGGTAGTATAGGAGAGTAGATGGTGTCCCTGGCCCTTTCCTGCCCAGCAGCTCCCAACTCTTTAAATGCATGCTTCCCCCCTCCCCGCTCTTCTTTCTGACTCGAAAGGGCCCCTATAAGGGTCACCACGTCCAGCCCCCTTCCCTGCTCTCACTGGACCAATGTTTTTTTTTTTTTTAAGGCTTTTTTTGTTTACAAGAGTCTGGGAGTGTAGGGAGGTGGTTCCTCTCCCTGGGGCCTGTGGTTGACTGGGCTCCAGTGAGCTTACTCCAGGGACCCCGGGAGCTGCAGAGAGTCTCCAGAGGCCTTTGAGGTAGTGAGTGACAAACCTCCTACAACAGATCCCTAAGTTGCAAACAGAAGCCAGCATGGGCAAGAGAAACAAAAGCCCAGGCAGGGCTTGCGTGGCTCAGGTGATGGGGTGTTGGGCTCATCTGTAGCCTTGGGGTGTTCACGAGGTCAAGGAGAGGGTCAGCCACAAAGGTACAGAGAAAAACCATCCCAAACTTACTTCTAGACCCCTCGGTGCAATTCTAGTTTGTCCATTTATGCGTTTTTCGATTCACATTGCTTTCCTTTCCGGTTCCACTTTGGGACTTCCTTGAGGAGGTGTGTGTGTGTGTGGGGGGGTGCACCTAAGGATCACTTTCTGGGAGAAAAGGAATTATCCACCACCTCCAAGGCTGGGCTGAGGATCTTTTGTGGGCTAGTCCTACATCGTAGAAAAAAAAAATCCCCTCTTCCCACCCCAGGAGGAGTTCATTTGAATGGGGACACAGGCCCCAGTTGGAAGCCAGCACCACCAACCAAGTCCTTCGTCAGCTTCCTCGCCTGCACAAGGGGGATCTTCGGAGGAGCATCGCAGGGTGGGATCCAAAAGGGTACAACTGTTCTTCTTAAAAGTCAGTGTCTCAGGACAGACTTAAACATAACGTTTTCATGATGATTGAGAGGGCCACTGGCTGTCCCCAGGGAAAAGTAGACTCGGAGTCGGCTGTTTATAGCTGACTCATCTAGCAGGAGGCCAGTGGTGTAACCTTGATGGCTCGGTAACTTTCCTTGACTCACGCAAGTCTCTGGTGCAGATACCCTGGCCAAAGCGTGTCCCGAGCAACGTAGTGATGAGGGGCTGCAGTGCTAGCTCTTTTCATCCAGGGGGTTGGGTGGCAGCAGTGGGGAAGTGAACAGACAGCCCCTCCTTGGCCCCATTTCTCAGACCGAGCCACTGAGCCACCACCTTCAGGAATTCTCTGGTAGATCAACATCAAACCCCGGACACCTAGTCCCCAGCCCCTTCAGCTTCCTTGGTTGCCTCCAAAAAACCCACAAAACTTCTACTGGCATCCTCAGACACTAACCCTCTCCTTGTCACAGTACTGGGAGCAGAGGACCTCTGGATTCAGAGAGGAGGGAGAGAATTCAGGGAGTTGCTACCTGATAAGACCATTCCTACCCCTCCTTCTCAGTCCCAGGGTAAACACCCTGAGCCACCACCCTGCCAACAGGTCTGAGACATGAGTGCATTCTGGGTGCTCATCTTAGCCAGGGCATTGGAGGGTGAATTGAAATGGCTTCTTCACCCTTCTCTCTCTACGCCCCCCCTCCTCCCGGTTTGGAGTGATAGGAAAGTCTCTAGCAATATCAGACGCTGAGGGTGCAGGGCAGAGGAGAGGTGAGGGGCTGGGGTGGTAGCATGTGGTCTCTTTGTATAACTGAGTGAGATCACTGTAGATACTTGGAATCCCAGGTCTGGAAGCCACCTCCAAAGCCATTCACGGGGACCTACCTCACTTTTTGGGTTGGTCATTGGAAGACCATCTGGAGCCAAGTGTTGGTCACTGGGGTGTGACCCCTGGCCCCATACACAGACCACCACTCAGGGTCTGTGCCACCAGGCAGCAAGCCGGAGGCTATCACCGGGGGACCCTCCCCACCACGCCCACTGCTGCTGTAGTTAGAAAACCCACATACTGGTGGGGTTGGAAAAAATAGAAAGAAAGCCCGGGTTTGTTAAAAGCCCCAAATCGATTCTCTACTCCTGCTGCCAGCCAGCCAGGCTAGAGGAGGCCCCGAAGGTTCCCTCTAGGATGCCCAGTTTTCTCCAGCTCCTTGTACTGGTGATGCGGGTAAGGAACACGAGGGGCAAAAAGAGCGGGGTTTGAAGACCTGTGGCAACAGGGCTGGAGGCAGGGCGTTAGCTTGAAGGGAAAGGTGCGGAAGGAGGCAGCGGAGTCATGGGGAGCCTTTTCTGCCCAGGCCTCCTCTCTGGGAAAGCTCCGACTTGTGCCCCGGGAACCCTGCATGGGGAAAACTTACTGGCAGTTATCACCAGGGCAGTCGGGCGTTTCCTAAACTCAAGACCCCAGCAGACTCCGCCACCAGAACAAACCACCTGGGGGCAAAGCACACCTGCCCGCATAGAGCCATGCCCCTGACAGCTTTGCCAATCTCAGGTCCCCCGGGGGGTCAACGTGCCCAGAAGTTGGGAGATTTACTGACCGTCTGCATCAAAGTGTTTCCAGATTTCCAGGAACTGGGATGCAGTCAGCTCGGCCAGATGCAGGTAAGGGGGCTGCTGCTGCGGGCCAGCCATTGCGAGCCGCTCCGGAGATCTTAAGCGTCTCAGCTCTTGTCACTCCGTGCCGCCTGGCTCCGGTTCTCGCGCTGGGGCTGCGCGCCTCGCTGCCTTTATATGCGGCCCGGAGCTGCACCGCGTTGGGCCGCCGGGAGGGGGCGCACGCACTCAGGGAATCGCGCAGGGCGCGGCGCTGCACGGGCGGCGGCTTTCCTGCCTGGGGTTCTTAGGGAACCCGGACGCACGGACGGAGCCTTCGATGAGACTCCTGGGTGCCCGCAGGGGACACCGCAGACTTTTCTCTAGAAATGGGGAGAGGCTGCTCTGCCTCCCTTTCTCTCAGTCTATCCGGAGCACACCCAGTTTCTAGCTGAAGCAATAACATTACCAAGCAGCAAGCCAAGATTTGAATCCAGAACTCTTTTTACACCCTAGTGCTCACTCAAGGGGTGCCAGAATTGCAGGAAAGCAACAGTCTCAAGATTTTACCGTAGGTGGGCAGCTGGGATCTGCACGGTGCAGGGAGGATTCAGGTGGGAACGGGGGAGGTACTCCCTTTTCCCCTCAGGTATCTGTCACCTCCTGAACATGCTCTCGGGACTTTTAGACCTCTGTCCAGGGATGGCAGACTGGAGCCTCTAGCTCCAGCTATGAGCCACACCCACCTAGGGTCGTGGTAGGGACGTGTCTACTCCATCAGGTAGACAACACTGAACTCTGACTCAGGGATGCTCTGAGCTTCACTTAGACAAAACAGAAGCTCCCACAGACGTGAGGACCCCTCAATCAGAGAATCAGCCTCGCGCCAGCCTCGCTCCAGTCTAAAGATCTGCAGCCTGTGCTAGCGTCCTGAACACCTTACCCTCAGAAAGACAGCAGCGCCCGCCCCTAAAAAGGACAGAGATGAGAACTGGCGCTCATTAACATGTGCTAATGAGTGTTAGCTGAGCTGCCTTCGAATGGGAGGGCAAAAGAGAAGGAGGTGAGAATCAAAAGCAGGTCGCTAAGGGTGAGGAGAACCGGGGGAGGGGGTGGAGGGCAGACAGGAGCAGGCTAACTCTTGGGGTCAGGCTGGGGCACCCCTGTGCTAATCTCAAAGTAGGGAAGAAGAGGCAGAAAAAGCTAGCTGTTGGGCCTCTGTAACCCAGCATGCCTTGCTGCCAGGGCTGGGAAATCCCCCAGCTGGAGGCCCCTTGCCTCTAAGAAGGCAAGAAAGCTCAGCGCTAGAGAAGATCAAGCTCCTCAGGTCTGGTTCCTAAAAACAAAACGGAGCAACAAACCTTTCGCAAGCTTGTTTGGATTACACAGCCCTTTTGTGCCTCGCTCTTCTACTCTGTAAAATGGGAGTGTGGGTATTGACGTCTTGGGATGTTCTGAGGATTGCGTACCTTTGCGTTCCTGTCCTTCACGCTGTGGGTGCTTGTGAGCTCTGTTGAGCTTGGCAAGGATTCCTTGATCGGAGAGTACTGTATCCAGTCAGCTTTCTGTCCCTGTGACAAAAAAGAAACCTCGAGAAAGTCAAGTTTAAGGAGAAAAGGTTTATTTCGACTCATGGTTCCGGAGGCTTTAGGTTGTGGGCATTTTTAGTTCATTGTTCATGGGTGATGTCACAGGGAGAATGTCCTGGTGGGAGCCTGGGGTGGAGGAAGGCTCCTTATCATGTGGCCAGGAAGCGAGGCTGGAAGAGAGAAAGAAATGAGACAAAGGAGAGGAGACGCATAGCTGGGACGAGACAGCGCCCCCCCACTGACAACTGAGTCCGAGCCTCCTACCGTTAGCACCACCTTCCAATAATCTATTCATTCATGGCCCCATCAGTGGATTAATCCATAAACGAAGTCTGAGCCCTTACCATCCATTCGCTCTTCCTTCCCCAAATCCCAACTCAAAACACTGATGCCTTAGAGACCTAACACACAAGCCTTTGGAGACTGGTCCAGATTCAAACTCTTCACTTCCTGCATCCCCCGCTGACAGCTTTTGACTTCTGTGCGCCCAAGGGGCTAGGCTCAGTCCCGCTGGCTCCGCCACCCGGCTCTGGGTTCCTTTGAGGTGCCTCCTGTTCCCTCCCAGCCCAGGTCTGCAGGCAGAAGCTGTTTGCTGGCTCTGTAAGCAAGACGGTGTCTGATTCCTTCATCCCAGAGCTGCCAAGGCTAGAGGAAGATGGCTCTGGTTATGACTGCAAGGGGTGAACTGTGAACCCCAAATATTGCATTGGGAGAGACCACCTTGAGGGTCCATTTCTGGGGCCATCTTTGCTTGTCTCAGCCACATGCCCACGGGGAACTAAAGGGTTCAAGCAAGCCCCTTGGTACTCAAACTGAGTTCTGCAAAAGTCACCTAGGTATTAGAAGTCCTTGCTCTGGAGTCAGACAGCTACGAGTTTAAAGCCAAATAACTAATTTGGGAGGCCTTGGGCAGATCATTAAACCTCTTTGAACCTTCGTGAAAATAGAGGTGGTGATAATAATAAGATAGTCTCTCACGATCAAGATAAGGCAAACGATGTAGCCAAGGATTTACTACCAAGAGTCCCCTGCATGCTCAGGGCTAAATGGAAAAGTAGATACAGGTGTTAACATGGGCTAATAGGAAGTTTTCATGATGTCCTGAAAGACTAGCCCTAGCCCACGCCTGGCAACACAGGAGCCAGATTCCTTCAGTCTGCTTAGCTTGCCGAGAATGCCCTCTGTCTCCAACTGAAGCCACTGGCTGTGAGAGGAAGGCTGGGCAGGGTTTCTTTTCTTGCTTCTCTGAGGCGGGAAACCTCTCCAGATCCGAGGGCCACTGTGGGAAGGGGCATTGTGAGCCTGCATGGTCCCAGACAGAATAAGATGAGCAGAATATGGGAATTTAGAGCCCATGTGAAGACAGAGAGAGAGAGAGAAAGAGAGAGAGAGAGAGAGAGAGAGAGAGAGAGAAATCAATGCAAGGGAGATCCAATGGGTTTATCTTAGAGCAGTAACATAGAAACAACGCTTTTCTGCTTGCTTCCCAAGGAGCTGAAACTCACGCAAATATTTTCAAATGTCTGAGGTTTTGTTGTTCCTCCAGGACTTCTGTTGGGCTTCATAGCAGCCATGATGACGGTGATGGTGGCGGCGGCGGATGTTGGTGTTTGTATGTTGTTTCATGAGTGGTTGTGATGTATCATACTTTGTGGCTCTCACAGCTGCCTTTTTAGATGTTCTGTGTAAGATTTGGACCCATCTTCCAAACAAGGAAGCCAGGCTCGGAGGAAACAATACCCTAGTAGGGCCTAGCATGGGGGATGTTAAGGTTACTTTGGCTCCTTTGGGTACCAGGGCCCTTGTATATCAGAAGCTGTGTTCCTGGTAATATCTAGAAAGACACTCCCCAGACCCTGGCCACCAGCACCATGTATAGCATCTCCTTGTATCCACAAGCTATCCGTCGACAGGACTCTTTCTTCCCCAAAAGGGAAGGTCGAAGCTTGTTTTCTTTGTTTGTTTGTTTTTCATCATCATCCCCAGCCCACTGACTGTCACCTCTGAGGGCTGTCACTGACACAAGGTCATGGTAAGCAGGTTTTCCCCCCATGAAGCCTCTGCCCCAGGTCCCCAGGAAGTGAAGAATGTGACTATGAGACGGGATGCCAGAGATGGGATTGGCAAACACCTTGTGGCCCGCAGTGGGCTGCGGCAACTGGCTGCGTTCCTCAGAGCACCCGGCGTTATTTTGGAGCACTTCAAAAACAACTCAGAAGTGCATCCTGGTTCCTCCCTCTCCCTGCAAATGCTTCTTTTAGGTGTTGCCTCTTTGGTCTTTATAATGGTCAGGCCTAGCTACGAGGGCACCAGAGAGCCGGCTTGCTTCCCAGAAAGAAGGATGAAAGGGATGCAGGAGCCCAGCAGTTTCCATGGAAACAGAGGAACCCAGAGGTGGGAGCAGGACTTTTGAGTTACCCAGTCTAAAGCTTGGGATCTTTTGGGGGGGAAAAAATCTCCCCGTGTACAAGGAACCTCAGTCAGAGGGTAGCGACAGGTGGTAGAAGAGCATGATGGGGTGGGGTCAGTAACTGTTAAGTAACCTCTGCTGCAAAAGGCAGGCACATAGGGGCTAGGAGCTCAGGGTCCTGAATTTCGCACTTTTAACTCCTGGATACTGGTAGGTCTGTTCGGTACTAGCTGTGTAACCCCGGGTCAGGTGGTCACACTCTCTGAGCTCCGATTTCCCCATTGATAACATGGGATATATAAGTGTCTCGGGATGTTTCATGAGTTTTAGGGGGGGTAACGTGGGGGGACAAACATTGCCGGGCCTGGCTCTTACTAAGTAAGTTGGGAAATTGGACCAAGGGGTGGGGCGGGGGGGGGGGGGAGTTGTTTCTCATCTAAATAACACATTGATCTCCACCAGCCCAAGTGGTCGCTTCAGGGATAATGGGTGAGGTATCGCATCCTAAAGTGAAAAATGCTGCTGGGACTGGTTGCATCTTGATTTGCAGGTTGGCGTAATGCCGTGACATGAGGCCTTGAATTGCTGTAGCCACCTTGAATACCCCAGTGGAGAATCTAGAGCAGACATGGATGGAAGAGGACAGAGTGGAGACCGAGGATCAGGCCATCCCTACAAAGCAAAGGAAGGACTAAAAGAAGGAGGGTCTAAAAGACATGGGGTCACAGGAGCTTCCATTCTGCTGCTGGATCAAGTTGAGCCTGAAGCATCTTAGGACTTTTTAGTTACACGAGCCAGTATACACCTAGCAGTGAAGCCTTCTTACAGCAGCTTGCTTCCTTTCCTTTCTCCTTCCTTCCTTCCTTCCTTCCTTCCTTCCTTCCTTCCTTCCTTCCTTCCTTCCTTCCTCTACACCCTCAAAAGTCCCAGTTGGTCTAGGAAGACAACAGTTGTCCTCATGGAGCTGGAATTAGAAAACATTTAGGAACCAAGGCTTCTCTCTCCTTGCTCTTAGAGCACCAGGCATGGCCACTCCTTCCAGGTCCTCTGACTTTACTTTTTCCTCCAGTGACAAAATGCTTCTTCTCATAACCTTTCCTGCCACAGACACCAACCTCAAAACCCATAGCTTGTACATCCCTAATAGATGGAGACTCTTGGTTTCCTTAGTCCAACTCCCAACCCTGCCC